TTTATACAGGGCCTATCCAGACTGATCCATCTCTTGCTCCTCTCTCCCTACAGCTTCTAGAGGGAACTCAGAGGCTTAGGAAGTTGTAATTTTGAAGTTGCACCCCTACTATCATATTTAATACTCACTGATGGATCTGTCATCCACAAATTTGTTCAGTCCTCTTTTGAACCTGGTTAAATTTTCAGCCTCCACAACATTTTATGGCAATGAGTTCCAAAAGTTAATTACTTAGGGTGTGTGTAGATGAAACAGGGCCCTAAATTGAAGTGGTGGGTTTTAAAAATACCGTTTCAATTTAGGGCTGATTAAACCCCCGTGTTGTGCACACACCCCATTGACTTATCTGCCTCTGTGGTGGGGAGGGGAGGACAAGCTGCCGGTGGACGGAGCGGTCCCTGGGCTGTGGAGGGGGAGACTGGTGCACCCAGCTCTGACAGTCCTGGGGGGCATTGCGGAGGGAAGCATTGGGTACCTGCACAGCTCAGGTGGGCAGGCAGGTCCCAATGGGTGGAGATCAGGCTCACCGCTTTTCTTGTGCGGAGCCTGCTTTCCCAGGCTGCTGCTAGGCTGCCTGCAGGGCTTCCTGCAGAGCCAGAGAGCTGCACAGAGCCTGGTGCTTTGCTCCGCGGCTATAGGGTCAGCAAACTAAAACTCCTCGAAGGAGTTTTAGTTTGTTGCACCCCAAGTCATTTAAGGTACATTACACTACTGAATTTCCTACAGCGGCTGAAATTCATGCTCGATACTCCACCAAGGCGTGCAAATACCAACACCATTAAAGCAGTGCAAAAGCATTTAGCCCGCTTTAAAGTGTCGTGCACACACGCCTCTCGTTTCGTCTACACACGGCCCTCAATTCACCTTCCAAATACGTGGGTGCCATGAAAACATCAGTAAAAATATTCAGAGAGTTTTAAAATGTCTCTCCTGCTTCACAGTACATAGAACCCCACATCAGCTTGCTCCAGATTTCTTCAAGCTCCAGATTAATTCAAGCTCCTGCCCATAAAAAATTCTGGATGGCCAAAGCTGTTGAGGTTTATCTCATTAAAAATAATGTGTGCCACTCCACTTGCAATACAGACAATGAAATCTAACTTGAATGAAAAGGTTCAGATTGCAATAACCATTATCCTTGGTAGGGAAGAATATTACAGAGACTGTAGAACATGAGATCCAAAGCAGTCTTGACCTGAGCAACCTCTGACTCTTATCTTATTTCTCATCCCAACAAAACAAATATCAGGTGACTCATGCTTCAGTATAGTTTTCCTGAATGAATGATTAATTAACAGTGACATTTTTTCCTTGAAATTTTAATATGTTGACATGGTTATGTAGTTTTTGTATGCTCTTGCTTTTTTACAGTGACAGTGATTTTTATGCATACTTAATGGTGCAAGAGTCAGTCATGGGAAATTGCTCCATGATGGTCTGGTGAGAGAGAGGCCTCAGAAATTTCATCCTGCACTAAAGATGCATATGTACCATATTTTCTCACATACACATGCCCATAATCAAACATGCATCTTGTTCTTAGAAGACAGAATGTAGAAAAAAAATTCTTGAGTTATAGCCAACTGCAATATAAAGTCCTCCTGGGAACAGTGTCCAGAAAGTGTGGCATCCACATCCCAGGACATAGCCTGGGTGAAGCAGCAGACAGCAGGAACTCCCTGATGTGGCAGGGATAGGATTATTCTATGTTAAACAAGATTAGGCCTCAGACTTCTGCAAAACTGTTAATTCTTTACTGTAAGTAGGTCTCTATATATGTTCCTATAAATATGGTTTCCACATCACCAGCCTTATCAAGATACTACCAGCAGGGCACCTGCTGCTTCACACACAAGCTACAGTGCTTAGGCAATATCTATGGCTGTCAAAGGGTTAATATGGGACTCCACCCCTTCAGCTTGCCGGGCCAGACAAAAGCAACAGTCATCCTGGCAGCTGTATAGCATCCACACTATCTCTACGCTTATTCTTTTCCAGTGAAGAAAACCACTTCCTCGCTTAAAACATGCACCACAATTGTGTGTGTTTGGGGCTTAGTGGGGGGAAGGTGTATATTATACGCAAGAAAATACAGTAGTGAGGTCCTGAAGGCTGCATATTAGAAATGGGGACTGCAAAATGATGCATAATGTAATATCAGAATTGGCTAGTGGTAGTACATACTGAGGGGGAGCATTTTCCATCATTACACCAGCTCCCTGCCCTTCCTTTCCTCACCCAGTGGCTATATCTGCCAGGCTTACTTGGTCCCCCTCATCCCCCCCCAACCAGAGGCAGAAGCCACTACATGGTCCCTTTTCATCCCCATATAAGACAAAAAGAGGGGAAACAGATGGAAAAGCATGCATTTGCTGTCCCACTGGGGACAGAAAAGACACTTCATATTATTGAAGTGGTCAGCTACTGGGCTGAGGGAGAGGTGGATGCCAGGGGCCCTTTGGAAAGAAAATAGTTTCTCCTTGTAGCTGTGGAAAAGCTACCAGATCCAGCAGCGCCTCCTGTCAGGAACTCATACCCCAGAAGTCCATAGCTTTCAAGGTTTCATATCAATATTTGTCTCTTATGTCAGTTCCCATCCCTTGTTAGTTCCTCGTTAGTTCCCTCATTAGCCGGGGGGTCACCTGTGAGCTCCTATTGGTACTGCTTTGATCTGCTTCAGTTATCAACAAAGCACAACTCTCCAAGCTTCCTTTTCAAGGAAGCAAGGTAGGAGTGAATTAAACTCAAATTAAGGTTAGGACTGAATTAAAGTTGAACAGGAGGGAGATCAAATAGCTGAAAAAATAAGAAAATACAAAGAAATTGCAGTAAAGGGATTGGTGGATGATGGGCCAAATGTAATACATCCCACAGAACCAAGGACCAGTAGAAGATGATAAAGCCAGATGTATTGTGCCATCTTTTATTCTTTGTTCTGAAATAGAAGCGACTGACCTGGGGCTCCAGAGTTGCTCAGAGGGCAAAATGTAACTGTTACTTTGGTGTCCTGTGATGCAATACCAATGCAGGTCACTTAGTTGACTCCAAGCTCTGGGCTCAAGCTCATATCCTCAGCATATGTAACCAGTTACTAGGATATACTACACTCAAGAGAGTGCTTAGATAACAGGCCTACTTAGGTAATGGTGTGTCCTCATTTTGCCCAGAGTATTATGTTAACAAACACAATGTTTCCTAGTGAAACTTGAAAATAAAAGCCACTGCATGAATTCACATAGGTGCGGTTACAGATGGCTTAATGATTTCCAAAATGCAAGCTCTAAAATAACAAAGAGAAGGGGCAATAATAGGAAAGTGCTGTCACAAAGCCTCTAAACTCCTAAATGAATTGAACTTTAAAATTACAAGAAAATGGGCTCCCCAAAAAGAAATGTTGTTACAGTCAGTGCTTAGACACCTGGACAGGCAAAGGCTTTTTAAATTTTCATTCTGCTGCTGTTTCAAAAGAAAGCCTGAGACCCTGGACTAAATGTAAAAGCTGCTTTTATATTGCCCTGCTCTGCACTGAACAGAAAAGAAACTCAATTTTACTGTACTTTCCAGTGGCATGTAGAAAGGTCTGTATTGTGTTAAGTGATCTCAATCTCACAAAAGCGCCTGTGTGGCTGTTTATTAGAACGGCTATCCCTTCATACAACAACAAAAAATGTGCAACCTTTGCAGATCCAGAATAGTCAAAGATACTTGGGAATATGCACTGATGTCTTTACTGTCCCAAAGTGGAGGATCTGTTGATAACTGCTGCTGCATTCTCAGGATGAGATTCTGAATGCCAAGTAAAGAGGTCTAAACTAGGCAATTTCCACTTAATTCAACAGAACTTTTTGCAGCAAAATCCTGCACTTGCTTTGAAAATCTCTATCTTTCAGTCCTATTCTTGGACCCAGTTCTGGAAATGCAAATGAATAATGTCAAAGAAATAATGCTAGATTGTTTCCAGTCAGTTGGATACTTATTCTGTAGTTTAGATTTGAGATGTGTGAGAGTGTGTTTGAAATAATTAACCAATAAAAATATTACTTTTGTAACTGAATTATTTTCCCAGTATTGAGTTCTGGTTCCAGTTTATGCAGCAGATAACTTGTACAGTTCTGTGCACATAAGTTTCTTACCTAATAATAATGCTTATTGTTTTTGCCTTGGCCAGAAAACAACAGATGTTTTCATGCCTTCTTGACATAGAAAAGACTTTCAAAGGCCTTTTGTAAACCTCTCTAAAATTCTACCTTCCATCTGAATCAGAACATAGTCCTGACTCTGCAAATGATAAAAGCTAAATTTGAAGCCCATATGCTAAGAGATTTTTCACATCCCACCCAGTAAGCATAAGAAATGAAGACTCTCTCTCTCTCTCTATCTCTCTCTCTCTATATATATATATATATAAACATTACTCTTCTGGATGTTACAATACTGAGCACCAAAACAAAATCTTTTTGCAAGCTTTGGAGTATCTTGCAGCTTTTTGGTAGCAAGCACAAAGCAGCATCTGGCAAAACACAGCACCTCCAGATTGTGATAACACATACATATTTTCATGCCAGGTGCAAAACAGTGTGAGATCTTTCCAGCTGATGGTAGAAAGCTTGCCTCTTTCTTCTCTGAATTTAATAATCTACAGAACAATAACTAG